AGCTACGGCAAATCGCGACAATACAATCAACGAGAATGGTTATGGTAATAACAATGGCGTCATTAGGGTTTGCTCCGATTGCAACACCACCAAGACTCCTCTTTGGCGAAGTGGACCTCGGGGTCCCAAGGTAAATTAATCACACTTACATTAATCGATTTTTTTAATATACATCTCATACTATATACACAACTAAGTTTATTTTTGTATTTGTAAAACATATAATTATTTTTGTCAATCTTAGATATATTTGATTCATTAAAATCTAATGTATTTTAAGACAGAATTACACTTTTATCCTTTTAAGTATACACATATGAATCCAATATTCTATGAAATTTTTATTTTTATTTTTGTTATTTTAACTCGTATACACACAAATTTTATTTGTTATTGCAGTCTCTTTGTAACGCATGTGGCATACGACAAAGAAAGGCCAGACGGGCTGCTATGGCTGCGGCCTCAGCCGCTGGTGACCAAGAGGTAGGAGCGGTGCGGCTGCAACAATCACCTGTGAAAAAGAAATTGCAAAACAAGAAAAAGAGATCAAATGGAGGAGACAAATACAATATTTCTCCTCCAGTGGTGGCCAAGGCCAAAAAGTGCAAGATCAAAGAGGAAGAGGATGAAGCGGCAGTGATGCTTGCCGAAGATTCACAAATCAGCAAATCAACAACTTCTTCTGATTCTTCGATTTCGTCGAACAAACTTTGCTTTGATGATTTGACGATAATGTTGAGCAGAAGCTCGGCTTATCAACAAGTGTTTCCACAAGATGAGAAGGAGGCTGCTATTTTGCTCATGGCTCTGTCGTATGGAATGGTTCATGGTTGATCAGATAATTACAATATTTCTGATTACAAAGGTTTATTTTTATAGTTATATATACTATAGTAATCATAATAATTATTGATTTTTAAATCTTGGCGTGATTAATCTAGTTTTTGCAGTTGGTCTAATATCAGAAGTCAAAACATCTTATGATAAGAGTGTGTGTGAGTTTAATTTAATAATTAATAGCTCTATAATATGTTTTGGGAGA